GATTGTAACTCCTATTGTCAGGACTTGTTTGGATCAGCTATCCATTGTGATTTTTAGACAGCCTACAGAGAGAAGAAAACCAAAACCAAACACGAGTGCAATTCACAAAATAACGACCAAAATCACACACAAATACAGGAATTTACGTGGTTCGGCAATTGCCTACGTCCACGGGGAGAGGGTGGGGAGATTTCACTATATGGAGGAGAAATACAATGGGTTATAACTCACAAAATCACTCAAATATAACCCTAACCAAAGCTCTCAACCCCCTCACAATATCTCCCTCTCAAAGTGCTCAAAACAATGCTAATTATCTCCTTAAGAAACCCAAAAAAACATTGTTTTATTTATAACAAAACACAATCCCAAATAGATTAGGATTCTAAAAACGAGTCTGCCACACCCTGGTGTGGCACACAACACATCCTGGTGTGGCACACACCACACCCATGGCTGACATGGCAGATTCTGTTATACCAGGGTGTGACAGACACCACACCCATGACAGACAGGGCAGATTTTGCCACACCCATGGTAGACATCACACCAGGGTGTGGTGGAGTCTGTTTTGCTTATTCTTCACGTTTTTTTCTCAATTCCTTCGCCGTTTTCACAATTCTCCACCTCGGTGAAGTGTTCTCAACACTGAGCCGACACTAACATGAGCACCAATGCGTCGTCTCTCCAAACTCGGCTGCACCAATGTGGTTGCCTACGTACCCCCTCTCCAAAGGGATCAAGCCGCCCGTAGTTCATCCAAATAGCCGCCAACGGCCTTAACAATCACGAATGTGCAATAAGTTTCGACAATGATCAAACTTGTTGCTCGGAACCACCTTAGTGAGCAATGCAATAAGTTTCGACAATGATCAAACTTGTTGCTCGGAACCACCTTAGTGAGCATATCCGTCGGATTATCCTTCGTGTGGACTTTCACAATCTTCACATCGCCATCTTCAAGAATATCCCGAACGAAGTGATAACGAACGTCAATGTGCTTCGTCCTCGCATGAAAAACCTGATTCTTCGCCAAATAGATAGCACTCATGCTATCATAATGAATAGTGACGGACCGTTGCGATATACCAAGTTCCTCCAAAAGTCCTCGAAGCCAAATAGCCTCGTTCACAGCCTCCGTAACCGCCATATACTCTGCCTCCATCGTAGACAAAGCCACCATAGACTCTAAGGTGCATCTCCAACACACCGGCGCACGGGTCAAAGTAAACACATACCCCGTAGTAGACCGGAGCTTATCCAAATCCCCGGCATAATCCGAATCCACATATCCAATGCACAATTGCCCACCTGTAGTGTCCCGCTTATAAATCAAACCAACATTGAGCGTACCTCAAATGTACCTCAAAATCCATCTCACGGCGTCCCAATGACCCACTCCTGGATCATACATGTATCTCGAAACCATACTCACCGCCTGTGACAAATCTGGCCTCGTACATACCATCACATACATCAAACTTCCAACCGCACTCGCATATGGAGTCTTCGACATTAACTCTCGATCTTCAACCGACTTCGGTAAAAGACCAGCTGAAAGCTTTAAATGGGCTCCCAATGGTACACTAACTGGCTCCGTATCTATGCTAACATGAAATCGCTATAGAACCTTCTTCAAATAAGCCACATGTGTCAAACAAATTCTGTCATTCTTCTTGTCTCTGCCGATCTCCATTCCCAAAATACGTTTGGCCTCACCCAAGTCTTTCATCTCAAACTCATTTAAAAGCTGAACTTTCAACTCATCTATAGCCGACTTGGAAGTAGAGGCAACTAACATGTCATCGACATAAAGTAACAAATAGATGTACGCATCTCCTCTCA